CTCACTCACTCACACAGTCACACACACACACACACACACACACGCTCTTCAGAGACAAGACCATAAGGCGTGTGCCGCTCACTCATGGACGACAAACACACACACAGTAAGCGGTACTTTGGCGCAGGTACGGCAGGTACCCGCTGGACCAGTGCTCGCGGTACCCGTCCGGTGTGTAATACTCGGTAAACGGCAGCCAGCATCTCATCAGGGCGCACACACAGTGTGTGGCACACGCTTACACACACACACACAGTCGCAGAGAAAGTAAGGGGCGGCGGGTAAACGAGTTTGTTGTTCTTCTTGGACGTGGATGGCGATGGAGTGGACGGCACCCACGCTACGCGCGTTCACCTACTTCTTGCGGAAGTGTATGTGTGTGTGTGTGTGTGTGTCGGTGTGCGAGCATTATGCCCTTTGACGGCGAGGACAGACGTCCTTCCGGGAGCGCCCACCCGGCAAGCGGCACTAGCGACACGCAGCAAGAACAAGGCACACTATGAAGTTTTTCTTTTTTCGTGCCTAGCTTTGCACAAAAGGAAGCGTATGCGTTTCAGTACTTTTGCGCTTGAGCCTAGGAAAGAAACTCTCCCATGCATTTAAATAGACGGGAGAGGAGCGAAAGGGAGTACTGGAGCCAAGCGCGACGACCACTGCTCTGGAAGAAAGGCGTCACAGTGGGCTTCATTTCTACCAGTGCAGCGGCTCGCCCGCTGGAGCGCCTGGCGGGTAGGCCGTCCCGTTGTGCAGACGTGTGTCGCGGACGCTGCGGTAGCCCACCTGCCAGGCGCTAGGCTCAGCAGACTTATTCCGAGAGTCGTCGCTCTGTCTCTCTCGCACCCACCCGGTACGCCTCATGATTGTGAGAGAGACAGAGCGACGAAAACGACTCTCAGAATCAGTCTGCGGCGGCAGTGCTGCCCAGGGCGCTGCCCGCCCGCTGCCGTCCGACTCCTCGTCGTCACACCTTCGGCCGAGCCTCCGCGCGAGCCTTCGGGCGATGATGGGCTGTTGCGGGTCTGTGGCTGAGGAGCACAGTGGGCCAGAAGACCGGCGGAGGCGGCCAAAACTCTAGAAAGCGTTTTGAGCTCCAGAGTCGCTCAACAGGACTCGAACCGAACGTGTGACCCCACCAATGGATTCCTCGTTCAGAGACCAATCCATTGGTGGGGTCACACGTTCGTTTCGAGTCCCATTTAGCGACTCTGGAGCCCAAAACGCGTCTGGAGTCTCAGCCGCCCGCGCCGGTCTTCTGGCCCACTGTGGGGAGCCGAGCGCCGTTTCTTTGTTTCGCTTAACGGCTGCAAGTTCGGAACGACGGAACGGCCACTACTGTTGGCACGCGGCCTTCTCTTCCTTGCCGCTGTGTCTGCGTGCGTCTGTGTGTGAGTGAGAGTGTGTGAGTGCTTTCGCCCGCGCCGCGTGCGATAGGCTGCCGGACGCGCGGACTTGCGTATAGTTCCTTTCACCCGCTTCTGGGATTCATTTTTTATTCATCTTGTTGATTGCTCGCTGGAGCCCCTGAGCCTCTCTCCCATAGCGTGCTCGCGAATGTATGTGTGCGTGCGGAAGTGTGTGTGTGTGTGCTTGTGTTTGTGTGCGCGCGCTTTTCACTCGGCGTTGAGTGGCTTTTGCGACAATGTCTTGGAGTGCGAGAAGGAGGGGGAGGGGGAGGCCGCCCCCCAATGTTGACCTCACTTTGCGAGAAGTATTTTCGTAGCCCATCCTTGTTGGTAAATTATTTTGAACAGTGTCACGTTTTGTTTTTCTTTTGGAAAACTGAGCACGGTGAAGGCAAACAGTTTTGAATATTCTTTCAGAGAATTTCTCTAAATGTTTCCTTGACCATGAAAATGTTTTTTCTTTTCGCTGCAAAAAAAAAGTTGTTTTATTATTTTTGCTACGAAGCTGTCCTTGAGGCTCTCTGTAACGCCTCATCGGTCGATTTTGTGGCCATGACATTGGGATGAAAAGGAGCGTTTGGCTTTCACCGCGTCGCGTCCGAGGCTGCACCCGTCTCTGTCTCTGTCTCTGGGAGTGAGAGTCCGCTGGACTCACCCGCCTCCCATGCCACACGCCACGGAATGCCGAGCGGACATACTCTGCAATAAAAGAAAAGGGGAAAAAAGCAGGGCCGGAACTCGGATCCACTGAGCGAGCAGCGCGTTCCAGGCCAATATCCGGGCCAAAGTGGGGGATCGAACCGAGGCAAGGTTTTCAGTTCAACTTGCTCTTGGTGGGTTCGTCGGTTCGTCCGCACCGCATCCCGCTGCGACGATCCCTCGTGCGTCCGCTCTGGACCCAACTCACTCCGCCGCGCCCCGCCGCGCCCCGCCACGCCCCGCCACGCCACGCACGCTGCACAGGCCTGCACGACTTGGACCTTAACCACTGGGATGGGATGTCACGCCTGTGGTCTGGCCGGCCGGACACCATTAGCATCCGGATGGACAGACAGGCAGACAGACAGACGGACAGACAGGCAGACAGACAGACAGGCCCTGCTGAGGTGCGCGTCGAGGATAGAGCCGCAGAAACCCTATGGAGTGTGGCACTGCGGCCGCCGGCCGCCCAGGACGAGTGCATAAGCAAGTAGCCTGTCAGTCTGCGTCTCTGTGTGCGTGTGTGTGTGTGAGTGTGTGCGCGTGTGTGCGTGCAGTGCAGCCTCCAGCATCCCCGGCGGCGGGCCGGCCGGCGGGCGGACACCCACTTCCCATGACCAGCGTGACGGTGACGCAACGACACGCGACCGACACGCGCACGCACACACACACACAAACACACGGCGCGCGCAGCACGGTCCGGTGGTCACGCGCGCTCGGGGCGACACGCCACTCACACACAGACACACACACGGGCGCTGCATCCTGACGACGTGCGCACACTGCGCACAGCAGTCCGCTGTCAGCGCGGCGGCGCGGCGTCGCGGCGTCGCGGCGTCGCCCGGACGGTGTGGATTTAGGGAGGCGTCGCGGCGGGAGACTGCCGTGAATACTACTTCCTTCCTTCCTTCAGTCTCTGCGTCAGAATCCGCCCCACAGTGGGCCAGAAGACCGGTGAAGGCGGTCAAAATTCTAGACACGTTTGGAGCTCCAGAGTTGCTAAATGGGACTCGAACCGAACGTGTGACCCCACCAACGGATTTCTCGTTCGGAGAGCAATCGATTGGTGGGGTCACACGTTCGGTTCGTGTCCCATTTAGCGACTCTGGTGCTCAAAACGAGTGTAGAATTTTGGCCGCCTCCACCGGCCTTCCGGTGTGTCCTTTCGGCCAGCGAGCCTTCTTTGCTGCGCGTGTGTTTGTGTGTGTGGCGGTGCTGCAAGCCCCGCATACCTGCCGCTCGGCCAGGCCACTGCCAGGCCATAGGCGCCATAGGCCGGGATTCTTCTTCTGGGCCTATCTGCATGATCGCGGGGGGCGCCTGCATGCAACGACTATGCGGGGCGGCACCGCACGGCACCGCACGGCATCGGCGAGGCTTCGGCCGGCATCGCCGAGGCGGAGAAGAAGAGCTCCATCGTCGTCCTCGGCCGATAACGCCGTCGCCTGCCTCGTTTGCACACGCAACGCGCGCGCACACGCACACACACACACACGGCGACGGCGCATTCCCCGGTATGGGTTTTCACTTTCGCGCCGACGTCGCGCTGGCTGGACCGCCGTGTGCACAGCCATCCCGCCTCCAGCCGCCACTCGTCCTTGGCGCTGGCGTCCCGGCAAGGACACCGCGCTGCGACGGCGGCCTCGACGGCGGCCTCGACGGCGGCCTCGACGGCGGCCTCGACGGCGGCCCGACGGCGGCCTCGACGGCGGCCTCGACGGCGGCCTCGACGGCGGCCTCGACGGCGGCCTCGACGGCGGCCTCGACGGCGGCCTCGACGGCGGCCTCGATGGCACCCCTCTTGAGTCCCCACACTGACCGCCCCCTCATTTGTTTGCTGCTGAATAGTGGGCGATGTACGGCTTCCGAGCGGGGCGGGCCGGCCGGGCCGTGGGCTTCGAGCAGCCAGAGCCACTGCGCCCCGCTCGCCCTGCTGGTGGGCGAGGGGCTGCCTCAGAAGGAATTTGAGGGGTCGGTCGGTTCGGCCGGCAGAATACAACTTCATAATGCCGTGACGCTACCGCCACACAGTGGGCCAGAAGACCGGTGGAGGCGGCCAAAACTCTCGACGCGTTTTGAGCTGCAGAGTCGCTAATGGGACTCGAACGGAACGAGTGACCCCACCAATGGATTCCTCGTTCGGAGACCAATTCATTGGTGGGGTCACACGTTCGGTTCGAGTCCCATTCAGCGTCTCTGGAGCTCAAAACGCGTCTAGAGTCTCAGCCGCCCGCGCCGGTCTTCGGGCCCACTGTGCGCCACCGCCTCGGCCTCCGCCGCACACAGAGTGGTACCCTTTCCGGTGTACCGCGCCGCCAATAGCGCCCCTGGGTGGCCGTGGCATTTTTAAACACCGTCACCGCGCCCCGCCGCCCGCGCGCCCGCTGCCCGTCCCGCGGTGCACTAAAAAATAAATGCAATTTTATGCATGGGAATTCGGGCATGCATACGCGCGGGCCGTTGCCATGGCGACGGTGTGTCGCGCGTCGCTGGCGAGGGAAGGTCGTTCATTTTCGTCGCGATGCATCTTTGATGTCCTTCGGTACTACTATCCCTTTTAGTTTCGCCGTCGAGATGAAATGGTGCCGTTGTGTAGGTAGTTTTCAGCCAAGTGGCAAATCCTGGAAAGCGCGTTTCGAAGCTCCGTCGGAAATTGTCGGAGGCTTCGTTTTTCTAAATTATTTGTTTTTGTACCGTAACTGTCGGAAACTCGTGCAAACTAGAAATGTTGAAAGATTTGGAATTTTCCTAAGAGCAGATGTATTTTTTGCCAACAAGTTATATTTTTGGGAACTTCCAAGATTAACTTTTTGAACAGTGTAGCCACGGCCCCTTGGGCGGCTGGCACGGCTGGGACGGCCCCACTGACCGCCTGTCGCGTCGTGTTTCGTGTTGCAGGTGTCACAAGAAGAAGTACCCCAAGGACCTGCCGGCCACCTCGGTCATCATCACTTTCCACAACGAGGCGCGCTCCACGCTGCTGCGGACGGTCGTCAGGTAACTATTCCAACTCAACTCGGGCCGGGCGAGCGAGCGAGGGGGCGGCAGGCGGAAAACGCTCCCGTTTTGACAGGCGGGACAGGCAGGCGCCGCGTGATGGGCAACCCGTCGTGGGCCGACTAGTTTACCGGATCACGTGGTACGGCGCACAGTGGGCCAGAAGACCGGTGGAGGCGGCCGAAACTCCAGACGCGTTTTGAGCTCCAGAGTCACTAAATGGGACTCGAACCGAACGTGTGACCCCACCAATGGATTGCTCTCCGAACGAGGAATCTATTGGTGGGGTCACACGTTCGGTTCGAGTCCTGTTTAGCGACTCTGGAGCTCAAAACGCGTGTAGAGTTTCGGCCGCCTCCATCGGTCTTCTGGCCCACTGCGGCGGTACGGCTGTACGTCATGGGCGGTGTCTTCGCCGGTGTTACCTTACCGTCCGTTACCGGCCGTGGTGGCTGGGGAAAACTTGGTGGACGATGTGAAACTTGCCCGCCCTCAACGCGGGACCGACAAGATGAAGAAGAAACAAACTTCCAGCTTGCCGCCAATTTCTTTAACGTTTTATCATTTATTTATTTTTGTAACTTACCTCTGATCGCTTCTGAAGTATTTTTGCTGCGCACATTTTCTTGTTTTTCAAGAACTTGCAATTAAGATTTTTGATGTGAACCGAGTCTTTTCTGGAATTCTGCTGCCACTGCCAAGTAGACGGACTCCGGGCGACTGCCGACTGCGCCTGAGAAGCGGCGGCTGGGCAACCCTTCGCTCGTTCATCCGGTCGTGCCTGGCGCTGGGTGCTTGCCGCTCGCGGACGCGCTCGTAACATGTCTGTCCGATGTTCCAGCGTCCTGAACCGCAGCCCCGAGCACCTCATCAAGGAGATCATCCTGGTCGACGACTTCAGCGACAACCGTAAGCACTGCTCCTAATGCCTTTCACGTTCAATACATTGGGCCAAGAGACCGGCGCCGGCGGCCAAAACTCTAGACGCGTTTTGAGCTATAGACTCGCTAAGTGGGACTCGAACCGAACGTGTGACCCCACCAATGGATTGCTCTGCCAACGAGGAATCCATTGGCGGGATCATGCTTGGTTCGAGTCCTCTTTAGTGACACTGGAGCTCAAAACGAGCCTAGAGTTTTGTCCGCCTACGCCGGTCCTCTGGCCCACTGTGCGGAGCAGGCCTACCTGGCACACTGTATGCATGGCTACTCCCGAAGCCGAAGCGCGTGGAATCGGGCCAAGTTGGCGGTTTGTCTGTCTCTGTCTAACGCACGTCGCCTCACGTTGCAGCATCCGACGGCGAGGAGCTGGCCAAGATTCAGAAGGTCAGAGTCCTGAGGAACGAGAGGCGCGAAGGTGAGTGCCGTGTCCAAGAGGCCCTCGGGTTACTCTTCCTTTCATCTCTTTATTTATTTTCCGTCGTGCCCCTCGTTGCGCCATGCGGCCATGCCCGGCCGACAGTCGCCCTATCTCTCTCGCGCGCATACGGGACAACCCAAGAGTGCGAGAGAGACAGAGCGGCGAAAGCGACTCTCGGAATCAGTCAGCTGAGCTGCAAATATTGACCGGTTGCAGGGCTGATGCGGTCCCGCGTGCACGGCGCGGACGCCGCCACCGCCGACGTCCTCACGTTCCTGGACAGCCACTGCGAGTGCAACGTCAACTGGCTGGAGCCGCTGCTGGAGCGCGTCAAAGAGGTGAGGTCGCCGTGGCCGCGCGGGCAGGCCGACTGACGGCCAACCGTAAGTTCCAGGGTTCGATTCCGCAGTTTATCTGAATCATTCCAAGTTGCCGTAATGAGGAAATAAAAGCAACATTTTAGCAATCTTCACCCTAGTGCGCCTGGTGGGCTGGCGACCCATCGTGTCGACGCCTGGTGGGCAGGCCACCCATCGTGTCGACGCCTGGTGGGCAGGCCACCCATCGGGCTTGCGCCTGGCGGGCAGGCCACCCATCGTGTTGACGCCTGGCGGGCAGGCCACCCATCGTGTTGACGCCTGGCGGGCAGGCCACCCATCGGGCTGGCGCCTGGTGGATTCCCGAGGGAAGTCCGTTGCTGCCAGAACGTGCCATGTTTTTCGCTTTCCTGGCCGGGCTGGCCCAGGCTGGTCGTCTGTCGCCTCCCATCTCCCTTCCCCTGCCTGTTGCTTGCTGACGTCTCACCTGGCCAGCCTGGCCCTGACGCAAACAGCAACAACTTTTTCTCTTTCATTACGGGATACGGGGCTGTGGCGGACTGCCCCCCCCCCTCTCTCTTTTCCACTCACCTTCCCTCAGCCTTCTCCCTCCCCCTCTAAGCTTCTGGGGTGGGCTTACATGCCCACCAACCCCTCACCATGGGGATGGATTACATGACACACCAGCTACGCTGGCGCGGTGGTTTTAAAAAGAGAGAAAAAAAAAGCTTTGATGGGGGGGGGGGAATTACTGGCATCTGAGTTCAAGACAAACAACTAATTTGACAAATTTTTGGCCGACAGGACCGGAGCCGCGTTGTGTGCCCCATCATCGACGTCATCAGCATGGACAACTTTAACTACATCGGTGCGTCGGCGGACCTTCGGGGTGGCTTCGACTGGAACCTCGTGTTCAAATGGGAGTACCTCAGTGCCAAAGACCGCACCAAGCGGGCCAAGGACCCCACCAGGGCCATCAGGTACCAATAGAGAGATACAATCACAGTAAACTTTACATATATATTTTAGAGTTGTTCTGCTTGAACTCACTTTGTTGTTTTTTTCCCTGCAGAACTCCGATGATTGCTGGGGGTCTCTTTGTCATCGATAAAGCCTATTTTGAAAAACTCGGCAAATATGATATGAAGATGGATGTATGGGGAGGCGAAAATCTAGGTGAGTTGGAGCAGTCTTAACTGATTAACAGATTGAGAACTATGAGTGTTCATTCTTCCTTTGTTCCAGAAATTTCATTCAGAGTGTGGCAGTGTGGTGGATCTTTAGAAATTATTCCATGTTCTCGAGTTGGACATGTCTTTAGAAAAAGGCATCCTTACACTTTCCCTGGAGGGTCTGGCAATGTGTTTGCCCGCAACACTCGCCGAGCAGCAGAAGTGTGGATGGACGATTACAAACAGTACTATTACAATGCTGTGCCTTTAGCGAAACACATACCATACGGAGAGTGAGTAGCCATCTCAAATTAGGAAATATGTTGAATATGTTAAGTTGCCAGATCTCAGAGGTAATCATGTTCTTTTGGGTTGCAGCATATTGGAGAGATTAGAACTAAAGGAGCGACTAAAGTGCAAACCCTTCAAGTGGTATCTGGAAAACGTGTATCCAGAGCTACAAATTCCTGAAGAAAATGTAATTAGCTCCATCAGTCAAGCAGGCAGGTGCATTGACACTCTTGGCCACCTGTCCCACAACACAGTTGGTCTCTATCAATGCCATTCCAGTGGTGGAAACCAGGTGTGTGTTCCTGCATTGTCACCTTTCATCAAACAAATTGTTTGCTGATTTTTCCCTTTCTCTAAATGTCACTTTGTTCCCTGTGTTCAGGAATGGACTTTGACGGATGATGGTATGCTGAAGCACAATGAGATGTGTCTCACACTCCCCGAGCGGCAACCTGGTGTCGCTCTGATTATGACACCTTGTGGTGAAGAAGAGGATCAGGTGAGACTGCTTTTATAAAGTTAAAAATTAATTTACCTATCCTATCATACTAACCGATTTTGTGTGTATTTTTCAGCATTGGGTTCAGACAGAGCCTGGAGGCCTTATAAAGCATGCCCAACTTAGTTTATGCATTGATTCAAGAGACAGAGATCGAGGGCTGACTGTTGAAAAATGTGACTCCCTATCAACTTCCCAACGATGGACTGTTTCATTACACCGAGCATAGTTACAATCTTGAGTTCACTGTCAGAAGTCACTGTTACGACAAGGGTCAGATTGATAGAAGAACGTCTCGGTAAAACAAATGTATATAACTTAGACAAAACAATGTGAGGTGGAACTAAATTATGGAAATGTGAGATCTATGTATGAAGACTGTTGGTTCTTGGTTGGTAACTAGATAAATCAGATAGAATGGAGAACCTCATAGCTCAAGCCTTTATAGGGGCATCATGTGCAAAACAGAAAGACAAGGGATTTCACAATATTTCATGTTGTGTTTCTTTTTTTTTTTTTTTTTTTTTCTGGTTGGATCACAGGTTTAACCAACACTATTCAATTTTGTCAAAAGGCTTAATTATTTCCTTGTGTCTTCCTCGCTCTCTGTGGACAAGCAGAGTTTAGGGTAAGCTTGTTAACATTAACTAAGGTACTGCTCTTCTATTCAGTCTCTTTCTCTTATAGGATTTCTATTCCATCTGCGCTCTCAATCTGTACCACTAGGTGGCCAAATCACAGAGTATGTAGTTGCTCTGCACTATTGTATATATTTAGTGGAAATTTAAGGATTTTCATTATTCTAGATATGTGTGGTCTGGATTGTACACACAATCCAGTTCAAGTGTTTAAGAAATCAACAGCACAAGTGACTTGTAGTAACAACTTTCTGTCGGTGACATGTGCTCTGGACCTCAGTCTGAATAATCTATCATCAAAATTATGATGGGCATGTTTTTTTCATGAGAAACAACTGTTGATTACCATTTAATACCCAAATATGTGTTGTAGATGAGATTATGACTTCCAGTGGTCTGCACACACTTTGAAGTGATGTGTTGACTTTGCCAACATTCTTTCTATCTCGACTGATTGTGATTGCAGAGAGAGAAGCAAGATAATTGTAGTATGTATTACATCAGTGGTTTCTATAGAAGCAATTAAAGTAGTGTAATTATAAGAATATTATTGGTGCTATGTTTGTTTACTGAGTAATAATTGTTGAAAGTTGTTAATGGTAAGAGAAAAGCAATCATTCCGGTTTTGAGTGGACATTGAGTGATTATAAGGTTTTGCTTTAATAAGTTTGGCCACATAGGAAAAGCAAGCTTTTTCTTGTTATGAAAGTTTAAGGTTTATGGTGTTTTGGGGCCTTTGAGAGGTTCCCAAAGAGTCTTTTAATTTATTTGTGTTTTATTTCAATTTTAGTTACAGTTCATTATCTTCTTTAGTTCAAATTTGTGGCTATGAATGAAAATACCTTGTGTAATAATTAAGTAACCCTTTTACCACATACAGTATATTGTCTGGGACAAACAAAGCTCATTGCTGATTTTTCTATGCCCTTTTTAGACCATTTTATAGTGCTTTGGCTAATTTAGTAAACTTCTGAGATCTTCTGCTAGGTAGGAATCCTTGTCTTATTTAAACTTTTTACTTTGTGATAATATTCTCATGACTCCTTGATTTTCTTTTTGTCAGAAGGTAATCTTATGTTGTGGATCAGTGTTTGAAGTGATAATATTAGTGTTTACCAACTGTGTGAAAATTTGACGAAGTCGATGTGATTGTCTCTTTTTTTATTTGTTCTAAATGACTAAGGCAATATAATGTTATTTGGATTAGACGTTAATGAGAGAAGCATTTAACTACTGGAGCCGAACGTTATCAATAGTGCCTTGACCGGGCTCTCTGGAAAAAAAAAAATTGTTGAAACAAGAATGTTTTAGAGTTACAGAATATGAATTTGGGTTTTTCTCTGCCAATTCAAGATCACTAATAATTCATTGCTCCTATTTGTTGCATCACCAGATAAAAATCCATACCCTCAAAATGGATAAGAAACTGATTTGAAAATTCCATTTTAAAACGACTTGAGAATGCCCACTGAAAAAGTCGTGTTTATAGATATTGAAATGAACAATTGAAGTCTGTATGTATTGTCTAAGTAGAAAAGGAAGTTTTGTGCTTCCCCACCATCAGAAGTGCTCAATGTGTGTTTTCTGTAGAAATTTGTGTATGTCCTGTTTCTTTGTTTTTTTTTCTGCTTTAAATCATTACTTGTTAATTGATCAATATTCTGAAGTTGTTGTATCCTCACATTATGATAAAGCTACACTCATCTGCCACTTTGTCATTTTCCCCACAAAATGGTTTAAGTGCATAAATGGTTGTGGTGGGATAATTCTTTCAGGTGGTACATTTACTGCCCAGTGAAAGTATGTGATATCAATTAAGTATTGTCAGTTTTGGCTTCAATGTATTTTTTTTTGTGCATTATTTTTTCCTTACAACAAGATTTGTTTTAAATAACTAATTCATCTACATCAATAACATCTGTATTGAACTCAGATGGCATAGTAACACAAACTTGACTTAATTGTATATAATGTAGATTTCAATTTCTGCCACTTTTCATGTTGCATAATATTATACTTGATTTGGGAAGTTTGTCTTGTTGGGACATGTTTCAGGAACGTCAAGCCAGTTATGCAGTTTCTTTTATGTATTTTACCGATGATTTGACATGTGATACTATGAAACAATTCTGAAACCAGTTTTAATTACACTGTGAGTTCCTTGAAGAAACATCATTTACCCTATAAAATTTCAATGTTGAACTCATGGACAGCAGACTGGTGCCTTAAAATCATGAACCAATAAACAAGTTTCTACTTGGAATGCTGAAATAGACATAGAACTTTTTGTTTGGCATTTGAAGGAAGGAAAATGGTTCATGCTCATGAGCTAGGCTGACAGTTAATAAAAACTCTACCTCAATTTTCATGAACTCGAACTTATTGACTACAGATACTTTTGTACATCTTTTAAAATAGTCATTAAATTTGAAAATATCATGATGGCAGTTAAATCTTATCTAGTGTACAGTAAATTTTTTAATGGTTTTTTTTTCTTTGAAAGCTCTCCAATTTACAATGATACTTTTCATAACTTATAAAATTTATTCAATGAGCATTGTCACCTTAAAATAATTTAACTGCTCTGTTGAGGTACTTGAATAATTCTGTTTAGTAAAATACACAAATTGAAATTAACTTCAATAACTGACTATGGCTATCTATCTAGTCTCTTTTTTTATCATGTTATTCATAATTTCATCATGTTATGTGTAAGTCATCATTTGTTGAAATAAAAACAGAAGCAATAATGTTTTTGGTGTACTTTCATCATCACTTTGCTACATGTTATGGAACACCACAATAACAAGACACGTGCTCAGCCTTACCACATCCACTTCCACATAAAATTTCAATAAGACACTACACACTAAACTGATTTCTTCTTTTTCTTTGCCATATTAATTTTTTTCTTCAAGTCATCTATATTGACATCATTAGATTTCTTAGAATCCCGAGAATTAGATGTAGAGGGTTCATCAGGAGCAACAAATGCTTCTCCTCTCTGTTCCTGGCGCATCTTCGCAATTCGTTCCTGCTTTTCCTGCTTCTTACGGAGCCAATTTTGTTTCACTTCTTCTTTTTTGAGGAAATACTCTCCTGTCCGAAGTTGAACGTCAACCTTCGATTCAGGTTGGGCAGGTGGGAACGGAGTGTATGGTTTCTTATTCTTCTTCTTCTTGGGTTTAATTGTTTTCACAGTTTTACCTGAGAATTTAGGAAGAAACCGATCCCAGCTTTCCCCTTTGAGTTTGGGGTCTTTCGCTAGTTCTTTCTTGACCATTAATGCTTTAATATTGTAGATAGGATGTATATTTCTCATAGTATCTTCTACAATTTTTCGGACCTGAAATGAGTAAACCAGCTCATTAGTCACACTACTTACTAATATTGTATAGCGTTATCAAGTATACTTGCAATCGTGCACACAAGGATGAAATACAACTTACATCAACCAAGCCTTTGTATGGTCCTAGAGCTGCTACTGTGTTTCCTTGAATTAGAACATAGCAGCCTGTCAGAAGTTCAATGGATTTTAAAGTGCAGCCGTTAGGTCCAATAAGTCGCTGCCGTCTCTTCACAAACCTCTCTTTGTTTCGAACCATTGTTCCTATTTTAATAATATCACATCCAGTCTCATCGTCTAAAACTCTTAGGGCTTGCTCATAGGGCACAGAACGAGCAAGAAGTCTTAATAAATCTCGAGCTTTACAAAGCATTGACGGATCCCAAGTTTTGGGAGTCGTCTTCACACACATACTGCCCTCAACAAGGTCCAAGCCTGCATATATGCCAAATTCATCCAATTTTTTTTCTATAAGAGGCCAGGACTCCTTTAGGTATTGTTCTCGATATTTAGGGAAGAGTGATGCAAAGGAGCTTTCTTCTACAAGAGGATGCTTCATATCCCCTTTTTTAAATGGTTCTGGCTTCAAATTCCAAGCATCATCCACAACAGAAGTTGTCTTGACTTCTTCGTCACCCATTATGTTGCTTAAAAATAAAAGCGTCAAGAGAATAGATGACTTCTTAAACAACTTTATCACACGAATTGAGAATGGTTTTCTGGAACATTCACTCAAAACATAACCTGCCTGCAACACATGCGACAGACGACGACAGACGACAAGAGACGAACGAAACTGACTCGACTACCAACACACCAGCGCGAAATCCTCTACGAACTGACAAGCTCCACGTACCAACTAAATGCCACAGTACCTGAACATAAAGACGAAAACAGGATTCTGAAACTAAGGCGACGTCAGGCGACGTCGCTCACTAAAATAAAGCGGATAATTAGTCCCGTTGAGGTACATTTGAAGCGCGCCATCAGGCGAGCCAACCAAGCAGACCCGAGCAGTGCTGCGCTCTAGCGTGTGACGTCACAAGCTTCGCGGAGGCGGCGAACGGCGGAAAAACGAACCCCTTCGCGTGTAGGTGGTGTTGACCGTGTTTGCGCTGAAAAGTGCTCAGTTTTCAAATATTTCAAACTGTATCACCGCGACATTGAAACGACCCGAGCCGTGGTTCGACAGTGCCTGTCGTAAGGACGGGGCACAGGCGACCCACGGCGATAAACGGGATCGGAGCAACTTGTTTAGACGGCGGAGTCAAATCGGCCTCGCTGACCTGACGCCGTCTACACTGGAAGACTGGAAACTGGAGCGGCAGGAGGCGCCGAAGCATCGGTAAGTCATTCAAACTTACTTCCGGCCTTCATCCCCGACCGAACAGGTTAGGACCGGTCTGTTCGCGATACGGGCGAGTGTCGCGTGACTCTATTCCGTCTTGGATTCGCCTGTCGTGGGTGATCACAATATTGACCGACACGGTCGGTGCAAACTGAAAACGCGTGCGTGTTCATGTCGCGCCTCCCCCTCACGGTGTGTTTTCCGTGGTTTTCCGCCACTTTTTTGCGCGCCAAGTTCGAAGGCGCCGTATCGCCGCATCGTGTGTCCGACAATCGTAGGACCGCTCTAGGAATAACAACAATCGATGACGGAGTTCGATACGCGCTGGCAGAGCTGGCCGCGGTCAGGCCGCGGTGGCGCTGGCGGCAAAACAAGCACGATCGACGAAAACACACGCGACACACTCACACATACCCGCGTCACCAGTTCACTCCCCCGCCTGCCTCATCTTGATGAGGACCGACTTCCCTCAGTTCAGTTGCAAAGAATCAGCCGGCCGAACTGGTCGCAAGGCGCGGACCACACACTCACTCACTCACAGGTCGCGTTGGCGGTCGTTTAGCAGACGCGACACTCTCCTCGTCGTACATGCGTGTATTATTTGTGAGGGGAGCGCGGCGAGAAGTGCGGGCGACGACGTGAATGATTATGGTTCGCGCCCCGGACGGGATGGTGCCAAGTTGGTGTGAGTCGCAAGAGAGCTGGGACGACGCGCAGCCCTACATCCTCCTCGGCGGCCGCATCAGGAGTCGCATGGTGAGTCTGTCAGGAGGGCGCACCCTCAAGACCCTCAAGCCCAGCGGGCGTGGTTCGGTGGTGGCGTGGATCAGGTGACGGTGCTTTTGTCCTTCCCCGTGGCCAATGTAGTGACTCAAATTTTTGTGTAGAAACTAAATAATGATTTTTGATGTTTGCTTTTTAAGTAGAGATTGTAGGAGTAGTATAGTCAGTATCTGGGTATCGAATAACATTCCAGTGTAATGTAGTCAACAGCCATAACTCATCACAGCCCACCAACATTTTTTTCTGCGAAAAATTTGAGCGTTTCTGAACCGAGCGACTCTCTTTAATAACCTGTGCAAATGAGAGTGTCGCTTCCTGGCAACGACAAAGGGCCGATTTCTGGCATTGAAAAGTGGCGAAGGACGGGAAGAGAGTGTCCGTCTTTGTTGAACGGGACGCCGGGCAGGGCAGCCCACAGGGCAGCCCTGCCGGTGGGGACTGGGATGAGTCAGATGACATAAGTTTCCCCCCCAGACCGCCTGGCCGGGCAGCGGGCCAGCGAGCGGCCACACATGACTGCCATGAGGAGGGCACCCCGAGCACCGCGTCTTTTTAGAAAAGTGCCCGACGACACACACACGCGGTGGGTGACGAGCGCGGCAGGGCGGGCACCGGGCCGGGACAGCCGCGTGGCCTTGGAGCGCACTGTCAAGGCCGTCGTGGTCGTCGTCGTGGTCGTCGTCGTGCAAGTGCTCCGCGCCGCTCTGCGTGGCGTGCGTAGGCGCCGCGCGGGGGTTGCCCGGGTTCGCGTCGCGACGCCTTTCCGTCCCGGCGGCGGCTGTCTCTCTCGCGCCCTTGCGTGCGGCACCTTGAGCGCGAGGGAGACGGCGACCAGAACACTGTGCGCTAGGAGCCCCCCGCACAGTGGGCCAGAGGACCGGTGGAGGCGGTTAAAACTCAAGACGCGTTTTGAGCTTCAAAGTCAATAACCAGGTTTCGAACCGAACGTGTGACCCCACCAATGGACTCATCGTTCGGAGAGCAATCCATTGGTGCGGTCACACGTTCGGTTCCAGTCCCATTCAGCCCGAAACCCGTCCGGGATTTTGGCCGCCTCCACCGGTCTTCTGGCCCACTGTGCCCCTTCGCTATCATGACAAAGGGGACGCTGGCCTCTGATCCTTTCCTGCCCATCAAGGCGCCGCTATCACAGCAGCCGTCTCTCTCGCTCTCACGGGGCATCGCGCGGGAGTGCGAGAGAGACGGAGCGAGGGGAGCGCTTCAGCGCTGCCGATAGCTAGATAGTGGCGGACTCCGCACGAGCCGCGTCAACCCTCGAGCGCCTCGCGTCCTCCGTCAGCACAGCATCCCGACCGGGGCCCCCAACCACCTGCCCCTGCCGCGCCCCTGCCGCGCCCCTGCCTCCTCTGGGGCCCCGCGGGGCACACCCCAGAGGCCCGCTGTCGCTCCTCTCTCTCGCACTCCCGCGGCGTCGCGGGGCGTCGCGTAGCGGTGCGAGAGAGACGGCGACAGGGAGTCTGCGTCGCGGCGCGCCTATCGGAGCAAGTGTCCCGGTGGCGTGGGTTCGAGCCCTGGCGGGGGGCGGTTCTTTTCTGTTTTCTTTGCGTGCCGGAGATTACTGCGTGTGCGTGTGTGAGACGCATGAATGGCTGGACGTACCTCGGCGGTACGCCTTATCAGTGTACACTACTGGCGGTCAGTCACTCGCCGTGGCGCGGCGCACAGTGGACCAGAAGACCGGTGGAGGCGGCCGAAATCCCAGGCGCGCTTCGAGCTCCAGAGTCGCTAAACAGGACTCGAACCGAGCGTGTGACCCCACCAATGGATTGCTCGTACGGAGAGCAGTCCATTGGTGGGGCCACACGTTCGATTCGAGTCCCGTTTAGCGACACTGGAGCTCAAAACGCGTCTTGTGGCCTCCTGCACCGGTCTTCTGGCCCACTGTGCGGCGACCTGAAGGGACGGCCAAGGGAATGCACTGTGATTTACCTTCCCCGCCGCGCATCGCGCATCCCGCCTCCCGCGACGACCGCCAGAGCGCGCCGACGTCGCCGCGGTGCCGGACAGACGGACGAACGGCCGACGGCCGGGCGAGCTTAGCGCAGCTCTGTCAATCCTCCCCGCCGCGCCCCGCCGCGCCCCGCCGCGCCCCCCTCCCTCCCTCGCCGTTGCGTCAGCTGCGACTCGCGCCGTAACGTGGTGCGGGCATTCCGTACTGGGCCGGCGGCGCGAACGGATCGTCGCGTAGCGTGCAGCGTGGCAGCGTTTGCCGTCAGACGTTCCGCGAGTGACCGAGTGACAGTGAAAGTGCAGTCCGTGCGTGCGACACAGTGACGCGAGTGAGAGAGTGACTGACTGTGTGACGACCGCCGCGGAGGCCTTACCGTCGTCACAGAGTCACGCCGGGCTGACGCCGGGCTGAGGCCACAGGGGTTGCCGCCCCTGCCGTTCTACCCCGTTGGCTTACACCCGGCACGACGGCAGCTTTTGTGGATTTTCCCCTCCACTGGGACACAGAGGAGGTAAGGATGGGACTTCCCCGCCATCTCTTCGATAACCTTTATCTGGGTGAACTTTGACCGGCGCGCCCGCCGTCGCGATGACCCGGCACCGGCCCAAGTCCTGCCGCGAACCCGACCCAAGCACCCGGGTTCTGGGTTCGAATCCCGGTCAGCGCGAGGGTATTTTTCCGCCGGCTGCAGGCGCCGCGTGGGTGCGCAGCTCCCCTAGCAGACGACGCGCGATATCAACAGGTGTTATCAGTTTGACCGAGTGGGAGGGAGAGAGAGACAGTGCGTTGCGTTTTCATTGGCTGTCTGTTCATTTGTCGACCCTCTTTCGATCGGCGTGTTGTGTCTGCGCCCGTCAGTCACGTACGCCCCGAGAGCAGTGTTTTCTTTTCCGTCCGAAACTGCCGTGCTGTCGTCAAAATATCATTGGTCGATTTTTGTCTGCGCCGTAAACTGGTCCCGAAAATCGGCCTCGGCCTGCAAACCGTGACTTGCCTTCATTGATAAGTCTGGCAATTAATGCCTCGATAACAGACTAACTGTCGCAAGTCAGCTTTTGACGTCAGGGGCGTGCAGGGTCGTATCGCGCCCCTTGCTGCCAAAATCCCTGTCCAAACGTCGAGCGAGCGACTGTGTCAATGGACAGCACTGTGAATGGGGGAGGCTCAGGCCGCCAGGGAAGACCGGCGCAGGCGGCCAAAATCCCGGACGCGCTTTGAGCTCCAGAGTCGCTATATAGGACTCGAACAGAACGTGTGACCCCACCAATGGATTCCTCGTTCCGAGAGCAATCCATTGGTGGGGTCACACTTTTGGTTCGAGTCCTTGTTTAGCGACTCTGGAGCTTAAAACGCGTCCAGAGTTTTGGCTGCCTCCAGCGGTCTTCTCGCCCACTGTGATCGAAATCAGAATAGGCAACAGCGGAAGCGATCTCCCAATCCCTCGGTCACTCGAAGATAACACTCTGTTGAAGGGCCCGCACCTGTAGCTTGCCTGTCTGTGCACTGTGCAACTGTGCACCGGTCGGCCCGGGCCGGCCGCGCCGCAACCGCTTGGAATCACTTGAGCATTGCTTGATTAAGTATGACTTAATGTGCATTACGCTTAGCGCGGGGTGGCGCCCCTGGGTATCGCCCGGTTCGAAGAACCCGTGGCAGTGATTGTGCATTGCGATTGGCAACAAAAGGCTCTTTTAAAAATTTATTTCATTTATTTTGCATTGTGCGTGCCGGACAGAAACAAACCAATCTCGGTGGGTGGGGTCTTTACTTTCGCGTCATGCGATTGCACGGCCATTTCTTTTATTTTTGGAAGAGGGTAGAGTGACCCCCCGGGCTCGACTCGGTGGATGGCTATTTGCAAACCGGAGGCGCCGCTTCACGCGACAGTCGGCCTTTTTACTGTTTTACTGCCCGCGCTTGAAAGACGCTTGAAAGACGCTTGAAAGGGGCGTCGTTCGGGATCCGCTAATGTCGCTCTGTCTCTCTCGCACCCCTGCGGGACGCCCCCGCGAGTGCGAGAGAGAGAGACAGGCGGATGATAAAGATGACTGTGAACAGTGCAGCGGACGGGCTGATTCCTAATAGCTCTGTCTCTCTCGCACCCAAACGAGGCGGCCCGTGAGTGCGAGGGAGTCAGAGCGACACTCACAGCCAGTCCGCTGCACTGTTCAGTCATTTTTATTATCATCTTGAGCGTGTGTCGCGTCTCCCTGGCGGCGCATTCGTGGGCACGACCACGTTCGTGTGTGTGTGTGTGTGTGTGTGTGTGTGAGTGTGAGTGAGAGTGTGTGTGTGTGTGTGTGTGTGTGTGAGTGTGAGCGTCGCGGTTGGATTGCGTAAGGCGCGGCGCCGTTCAACATTGGCAGTAATAGTTGAACTTGACTTCCTTGGTTGGCGCGGCGGCGGGGCGACCCACTTCCTTCCGAGAGAAAGTGTGCCTTTGCCGGCGCGGTTGCGGCGGGGCGGGGCGTGAGGTACGCGGCTCCAGCGAATGTGACGCAACGGGTCTCCAGCAGGCTAGCCCCCTCCAGCTCCAGCGCCGCGGTTCGGGCCGGGCCGCCAGACCCCCTGCGTGCGAAAGTAGTGGCGCTATTGGCCCGCCGTTGCCCCTGTTACCTCTGTCGTTACCCCTGTTACCTCTGCCGTTACCCCTGTCACCTCTGCCGTTACCCCTGTTACCTCTGCCGTTACCTCTGTCACCTCTGCCGTTACCCCTGTCACCTCTGCCGTTACCCCTGTCACCTCTGTCGTTACCCCATACCTTTGCCGTTACCCTTGTTACCTCTGCCGTTACCCCTGTTACCTCTGTCGTTCTCTGTTACGTATGCCGTTACCCTTATTACCTCTGCCCTGACCCCTGTCGTTACCCTTGTTACCTCTACCGTTACCTCTGCCCTGACCTCTGCCGTTACCCCTGTTACCTCGGTGGCGGATGAATGGGTGTCGAGGGGCCTGCCGGGCCCGCCGGGCCATGGCGGGGCCCTCACAGTGGAGTGGCTGTCGAGCGTGGAGTGCTTGATTAGGTGACACCTGGTGGCGTGGCGCCCTCACGCGGCGGGTCCCGGAACCAGCCCGCCCTGCAGAGTGGCTGCTTCTCTGTCTCTCTCGCACCCCTGCGGGACGCGCGCCCACGGGTGCGAGATAGACACAGCGAGTTTTGTGGCCGTGGGGGCGTCGGGGGTGTGTCCGCTGCGGCCGTGGGGGTTGTCGGGTTGCGCCATGGCGGTGCGTGGCGGTGACGAGACGGTGATTGGCCGTGATAGGGGCGTACCGGGCGCACCTAGCTGGGCCTGCCTCTGGGCCTGCCGGGCCGGCACTGCCAACTGCTGCGCCGTGCTGCGCTGTGTGCCTGCAGAAGCAGCAAGGGCTGCACTTCGCGCCGCTTTGCGCAGCCCGTCTCAGCCCGTCGCCCGGTTGAATGACCAGCCTTCTGCAGGGATGCCACTCCACAGCCAACACGGCGCGATCCAAATTTTGACAGGTGTTTTTCGTTGGCGTTTTCCGCGCCAAGTCCCTTTTTGTGGCCGTAGTAAACAGTAGTATCGCCGAGATAAGAGGACTCTGTGCCTCGGCGTTCCCATTCACCATTTGGTTGGCAGCACTGGCATTCACGGGGTTTTCTCGTCTCTCTGTTGCAGGACCTGGAAAGCGGTGACGATGGTTTCGCGTCCGAATCGGGCTCCCCTTGCGTAGACGCGTACGCCGAGATGGACTCCCCTCAGATGTACGACGCCAGCACCCCGGAGGCCAAGAAGCCTTACCAAGGCCTGCAGGCCCACCACCACAACAATAACAACAACAACCCCCTGGCCATCAACAACAACAACAAGGCCCTGATGGCGGTCAAGCAGCAGCAGCAGGTGCAGCAGCACCCCCAGCAGCACCAGCAGCAGCAACAGCAGCAGCAGCAACAACAGCAGCAGCAGCAGACGGGGCCGCACCAGTTCCACCACGACCTGACGGACCTCAACTCCCCCGAGATCTCCCTGGACCTGCAGCACCTGATCGATGACTCGCAGTTCAGCGAGGGGCTGTTCAGTGAAATCCTCAATGGGCCGCAGTCGGCGGGCAAGCAGCTGCCCCAGGTGCAGCAGCAGATGCAGCCGCACCTGCTGGGCGCCACCAACTACCCGCGCAGCCTGGGCTACGGCATGCAGCAGCCCGTGCACAATGGCTTCGCCACCAACTCGGGCTCGGACAGCAACTCGTCGAGCGCGTCCGAGAGCCCCAGCATCAAGGAGGAGCCCGTGGACCCCGTGGAGTTCAGGCGGGCGTGCGCGCAGCAGGGCCCGGGCGCCATCGGCGCCGTGCACGTGCCGTACTCCAACTCGTACTCGCCGCCCACCACCGCCAACTTCGCCAGCAACGGCGGCGGCTCCACCTTCACCACGCTCACGCCCACCGTGATGCCGGGCGCCAACGTGCTGCACCACCACGGCCTCGGCCTCAAGGGCCTCAAGGCCTCGCTGCACCACCACCACTCGCGCAAGGGCTCCAAGTCCGTGGACAAGGCCAGCGACGAGTACAAGCGGCGGCGCGAGCGGAACAACATCGCCGTCAGAAAGTCGCGGGAGAAGGCCAAGATCCGGTCCAAGGAGACGGAGGAGAAGGTGCGGCTGCTGGTGAAGGAGAACGAGCGCCTGCAGAAGAGGATCGAGCTCTTGAGCGAGGAGCTCAACGTGCTCAGGTCCCTGTTCACCAACGTCGGCGTGGTGCCCGAGCACCTCCACCGGGAGATCAACAAGCACCTGGACTCGTTCCAGCAGCACCAGGGCGTGTGATCCCCGATGGTGGTGCCCCGCCGTGCCCCCTCCCCCTCCCCCCTCTGTAACCAAAGACAAGCTGGTGGTGCTAGTGTGGTGACTCGAACAAAGATAGCGGACTTTGTGTGACCTGTTGGACCACCAAACTACCAAATACACGTGCGCTTGTGTGTATAAGTACTTTCTCGTAGTGTGCATTAGTCAAGATTTTTATACACAGGTGCGCACAAGTGTGTGACGTCTTGGTTGTGCTTTTTTGTTTTGTCTGGTTCTCGATAGGCTTGGTGGCCGAAGTGGGCGCCCAGTTGTGTGTTGCAAGCCACGTCGGTAAAACCTAGGCAGATAGGGTTATTTTTTTGTTAAAACCAGTGGTTAAAGACGTGGTTTCTACCTCAGCTTTTCAATAATAAAATCAATTTAACGATAGGATCAAAGATCTCATTTTCTCCTCTGCCATTAAATGGTACATATACTCTTTAAAGGATGTCTTGGCTTTGACGATGCAGAGAATTTTCCCCCTCGCTTACCAAGCCTACAGGGAAGTGAATGCTTCGGAGAGATTCTTCAGTATCCAAAGACATACCTCGGAATCCCTGTGGATTCGTTTTGTAACACTATTAGACTGACGACCGTGTACTTTGAACAAATATCCTGTAACGTGAAAATTTGTGTGCTGGCTGTTTGGACTTTGACGTTTTTCGACTTTGATTCGCAACAGTTGGCCGATGAGCACACCCGTTTTCTCGTGTGCACACATGTCTGTACCCCTGAAATGCAGTGCCTTACGAACGGTGATAAAAGTTAAGTAGAGATGTGCGCGCTTTTCTAAAAACCACGCACACACTGCCCGACCTATCGTACTGTTAATAATTTGTGTTGATATTATATAAGCCATTCATAATATGCTAATGAAGGCTGAAATATTTTTATATTTTTTACTTTTGAGAATTCTGTCTTTTTTGAAGATTGTAGTTTTGCATGAAGGTGAACAAAACGAGATTTTGGTCGTCCGTCGTTTTACCAGTTAAATCAATAAAAAGCATTATCAGTCACAAATTATATTTAAGTTCCCAGATCTTGAGGTACCAATCTAGTTTTTTTAAGAGCTGTAGAATTTTGAGGCTTTTGAGGCCATTTTGTGGAGTTATCTGTTACAAAACTTTGCACAACGATAATTTTACAGTAATTGTTCGTTATATTGATTCAGTCAACTATTCTTTCGTTCTAAACTTCTTTGAGAAGTAAACCATTTACCTGATTAGACAGTGACTTATAATTGTTGTAGTTAAGAGAAATATTTTCATATATTATAATTTTATTTTTAGTAGTCTTGTTTTCTTTCCTCATTGTTGGCCCGTGAAACCTCTTTACTTCGAAGTATTTACATGTTAGTTCGGATATTTCATTTTAACTTTCAATCACCCCCATCGTGCCCTCCTTCTGTCTCTCTGTCTCTGTCCATCTTTCTTCTTTTCCGTGTTTTCTATGTTTCACAATCATTTTTCATCATCACAGATCCACGTTTCACGTAAGGCCGTGTCTTTCTGTTACCATATTAGTGTTGATTTATAAATCTTTATTTATGACAGAATAAGTATTTGAAACAGTTTCTCTTAACACTGCTTCTGTTAAATATGAATGTAAAACAAGAAGGGTTATTTATTTCTGCAGAATTTTGTTAAATGTGTTCATCATGATAACTTACAACGAATTGCAACAAGCGTTTTCTGAAGCTCCCTCGAGCAAATAATCTGTTTTCACGTTGGTACCAAGTCATTTGAAGTCCGTGTACTGAACCCTACTGAAAAAGTTATTAAAGCCTAATGCCTTCATGAAAGTGATGTTGATGTACAAACAATACCTGTATGTGTACTTCTTTATCTTTATTTATGTGTATATGTATGGGTATTGTTCGGGACTTTGGTCCTTTCTTCGATTTTATTTTCATGCAACGACCAACTTTTTTCCGACAATTTGTATATTTGCTCAATACGGTTGTGACGGCGCTTTAATAATAGATCAATAGATTTGTAATACGGGAAGGGCGGGGAAGTTAAGTGATTAGGGTATAAAGCTTAAAATAATGACAAAATCTCGAGTTGCGGCGTATTGCGCTGAAACTATTTACCATGCTACCGAACAATACCAAATTTGTGTTACCAACTTAAGTTACTTTATCTCTTTCTTCTTTCTACGAATACCTTCTTCTTCTACTGTCCTTCAATCCGTTATTTTGTAAGGTTTTGAACACAAATGGCTTGATAGCTATGCGTTGGTGGAGATTCTCATGTACGAAATAAATAATTCAGTGATGCATGTCGTCTCGATTTGCATAAAATGATGCATTGTGAAGCCACTGATGATAAATATGGAACGTTGTAAACATTTTTTGTTAAAGTGATTGAAGAAAAATATATTGTACAATGAAATTTTTCTAACAAATATTTTTAACACGAAATAATTTTTCCTGATCCTGCTTAAACACTCAGTGCGACGCACGAAAATCCAGAACAGACAGTGTGAAATCTGACTACAAGTTAACACTTTAAAACATTCGCGTTAAAAAGTGACGTGGCGGCCCGTCGAACGCGCGGCGCCCTGAGGTGCACCCCCATGACCTTGGCCAGGGCGCAGGGAAGTCCGAGCGCGTTGCCAAGCAGGAATGCACGAAGCGCCAAAGCAATCAGACTAGGAAGGGAGGCGCAAGGACGCGATTCAAAAAGCGAGTTTGTGGTCGAAGACCGAGTCAGCCAGCCGGTTTGTTCTGCCCAGTGGCCAAGGGTTTCTCTCCCTACTCATTGCCGAAGCGGCGAAGCCCTAAGACCTCGCATGGCGCCAGACGGACAATCACCCTCGGAAAACAGTCGTCTCGGCTCTTTCCTCTCCGCAGCCCTCCACTGGCAGAAAAAAGACAGAAAAAGTACGGAACAGGCAATTTACCTGGATCGTGCGAACTACGGAGGATCCGCACATGTTTTCCGTACCAGTTGGCACCACGGACAACCAGCACGGCTGGTCCGTGCTTTTTACCTGCCAAACTGCGTATTTTTAATTTTTTTTCCGCGGACGCAGACAGCAGCGCGCTGCCGCGTTCCCTTTCAGCCGATTTTCGATGCGCTGGCGTCGCGGACGACGCGTGCCAAGAACACGCGGCGGGAGGAAGTGCACGCCGCAGCACGCTGCACCTAACCCACTTGGCACACTGTCACGCCAGCCCATCCTCCCCGCGCATCCTTCCAGTGGCGTTGTGTCTCAACAGTGGGCCAGAAGGCCGGTGGAGGCGGCCAAAACTCTGGACGCGTATTGAGCTCCAGAGTCGCTAAATAGGACTCGAACTGAACGTGTGACCCCACCAATGGATTCCTCGTTCCGAGAGCAATCCATTGGTGGGGTCACACGTTTGGTTTGAGTCTCATTTAGTGACTCTGGAGCTCAAAACCCGTCGAGGACTTTGACCGCCTGCACCGGTCTTCTGGCCCACTGTGGTGTAGTGGTCGTCCCAAGAGAGTGGCAAAGCGCTCTACATTTGCGCGTTTGTTTTATTTCCGAAGGGTAGTGCACTGGTCTCCCGACACTGACAGGGTGTCGCTCCCGAGAGTAGCTCGACGGTGTCCCAGCGATTCCGAGCAGTGCTCTCTCTCTCCCGCACTCTTGGGGCGCTGCGCTAACGCTGCGCTAACGCTGCGCAGGGGTGCGAGAGGGGCGAGGGCAGGAATCGGTCTGCCGCTGTGGGTTTCCCTGCCGCGCTTGTGACTCGGCTCTCCTTTCGGCCCGACGTTGCGCCCCAGTCGAAGGGGCAGTAAAAGTGTGACGGTGGCTCTCTGACGAATAGAGTTCTATCTGCTGAGATAAAAGCACGATTTGATACAGCGACTCGCAAGAGGACTACACCGTCGAGCAGAGGACGAAAAAATGACATATTGAGCAATATTGCAAAATGTGGTGAAATCGTCTCCATGCGATTAGGATCAAGTGTCGATACGACCACCTGCGAGTTTATGTCTACTGATAATTGAAGGCGGCCATTGATGATTTTTGGCCCCTGCTCTCTCCCCCTCCCCTCCCCCTCCCCTCCCCCTCCCCTCTCCGCCTCGTCGCCGTCCGCCACCTCCCCTTCCTTGGACGACCCTAGCCTTCTTTTCATTGCTCAAAGCTCCTGCCACTTCGAAAAAAAATTCATTCGTCAAATTGTCAAAATTCAAATTTGGCTCTCAAAAATTGAGCATAGGTGGGTGAAAAGAGGTAGAATGTGAGATAAGGTATGTATTTCCGTGGCATTATTTAAGAATAACTTAAGCCAAGGGTTGTTTTTTTTTTTTAAATTTCCTATTGTATCGATGATTTGAAGAGGCATTGAGGGTTTTGTCGATGCTCTTCCTTGCCGCTGCTCCCGGTCGCTCCTGCTCCCGGTCGCTCCTGCTCCCTTCGAGGCCCCCGTTCTCCTTGCTCTTGTCCCGATTGAAGGACTTGGCACACCTGAGGGGACCCCCCGCGGCCCCGCTGGCTTGCCGCTGGCCGCACCGCGCTGGCAGCGCTGGCACGGGCGGCTGTCTGGTGGCACACCCCTCCCCTCCCCCGATGCATAGCGTTTAAAAGCGTCTAAATCCTCCCCCGCCCGCCCCGCCCGCCGCTGCTCGCGCACCTACCGGCCCGTCGGCCTAGCGGCTGGTTCCGGACGGCGTGCTCTGTCGATCTCTCTCGCTCCCCTACGGGACGCCCCACCGGTCCGAGAGAGACGGAGCGACGAAGGCCCTGTTCGACATCAGCCCGCCCGGCCCGGCTAGTTGTCACGCGCCGCACTGGCGTCCGAAAGCACAAACACCTGAGGCCGCCAAAGACACCCAATTCGTTTGCCCCTTCTTTCCGGTCTTACAGGATTCTGCGATTTCTTGCCGTTTTCATTTAGGCCCATGTAGACTTTTCACACGAAGTATTTTTCCGGCAAGTGAAATTGACTGAACGGCCACCTAAGTTTCATTCAGTTAAAGTGTATTTTATTTTGTCGTGTGTGGAACGAAGTCGGAATCCCGCTGCTTTTCAATCTTTCCCTCCGCAACAAAAGGCGTACAGTCGGTTCTAAAAATAATGGCGCTTGTTAATGAGACGCAGGCCGCGAGCACCCCGAGCACGACGCGCGGACGCACCCCTTTTGGCAGGCTCTCGGCGGTCCTCGATGCGCGAATTAGAGGAACTGACGCCGAAAGGTGAAGGTTAGGCCGCCGCCAGGGGAGCGAACGAACCGCAACTGTAATGTGTGTCGCATTACGCCTCGCCTAACGGTGGGCCAGAAGACCGGTGGAGGCGGCCAAAACTCTAGGCGCGTTTTTAGCGCCAGAGTAGCTGAATGGGACCCGAACCGAACGTGTGACCCCACCAATGGATTCCTAGTTCGGAGAGCAGTCCATTGGTGGGGTCACGCGTTCGGTTCGAGTCCCATTTAGTGACTCTGGGGCTCAAAACGCGTCTAGAGCTTTGGCCGCCTCCATGCCCACTGTGCGCCTGCTGCAGAGGCTTTTACCCGCCGTGTTGGCACGCCGGACTCGGTCCGCTCGTGAAGCGCGTTTTTAGCGACGAAAGTGCGGCGCGGTGGTTTTGGCCGGGCAGTGCCGTGCAGAGGAGGACGCGCCACGCGCCGAGGATAAGTAGAGCCCAATCTTTGCTGGCTGTCTATCTGTCTGTCTGTTTGTTTCGCAATCCGGTTCGAACCGATTTTTCTTTGAGTGCCCTCCCTAGGTTTCCCTCAAGTATACCAGCAATTACCTCTCCTCTTGGTTTGGTAAATGACTCTACCTAGACCGTTTAAACTCAAAAAGGTAAACCATGAGTTTATGGAATTTTCCAAAGATCTCAGTGAATTTTGCGCCGCCATCACTTTCCGGGTATTGACACGAGTTTTGAAACGGGGAACGCGAGGGTTCATGACGAAGAGCGAGAAGTTCGAGAGTGACACCGAGTGACACACACACACACCTACAGACGGACGGACAGACAGTCGTACATGTGTGTCCCCCTTCCCCGTCGTTGTGTGCCTCGTGTAAGTCGTAAACGACGACCATTGGGGAGTTCCCTGCGCTGCCTGGCTGCCCGCGCCGCCGTGGCCGCGACGCGCCGATGTGCCCCTCACCAGATCGGCGCAGTCCTTCAGCAGTGCCGCGGCTGTCATTTTTCTCGGTACCACACCGATAGGCCCGTTAACAACTGATTAGCCGCGTGCGTCTGTCAGTCCTTTGACTCGCTCCTCTCCCTCGTCGGCCTCGTCCCCGTGCCCGTCATCTGCGTCCAATCCGCGCCCCGTTCCCTTGCAGCGCCCTATCTAGCCACGCCACGCTTTCTACCGAGAAACGCACTCAAGCGCCGGTTCGCGGTAGTGGAGGGGTTGAAATCGGACGTCAGAAGAAGTTTATTGGTTGCATTTTAGTTGTCCCTCAGAGTGGGTCCCATCCTCGCACTATAGTAGTGCACGAAGCGGCGTTTTCTGATCTCAGACGGGATCGAAACTTCACACTTTTGGTTTTTTATTAAGAAGGTTCCGATGCCATCCGCGCACTAGTGGTGCACGAAGCGGCGTTTTCTAATCTCAAACGGAATTAGAACTTTTTTTATATTTTTGAATTTACTAGGTAGGTTAGCGGTTCCGAATGATTCGCAGACTTCTGCTACGCGCACTCTGCTGTGTCCCATCCAGACTGATCTTCTGCCCCGCTAGCCTAGTCGGACTAGCCTACTGGTCTAGTCCAACAGGATGCTGAGGGCGTCCGGTGACGCGGCGCGACGCGGAGCAAGGCAGTGCGCGGAGAGCACGGAGTGCACACACAATCCCCATTGTTCTTTCGCCGTTTCCCGCCTTATTGCCAATATAATTCTCGGGACAGGATTGGCGCCTCGAGGGGCAAAGCGGCGTAGCCGCGGTAGAGCCTCCGCGGTAGAGCCAGAGCGCTGCCCCGCGACACTGCGAGTCCCGGGCAACGGGACGCACGCCGACGCACAGTGGACTTACCAGAAGACCGGAGGAGTTGGGGGCGGCCAAAACTCTAGACGCGTTCTGAGCTCCAGAGTCGCTACATGGGACTCGAACCGAACGTGTGACCCCACCAATGGATTGCTCTCCGAACGAGGAATCCATTGGTGGGGTCACACGTTCGGTTCGAGTCCTGTTTAGCGACTCTGGCGTTCAAAAAGCGTCCGGAATTTTGATCTCCTCAACCGGTCTTCTGGCAATTCCACTGTGCGCCCGGCAAAATGCTTCCGGTATTCTTGAAAGTCGCATGCACGGGTTCAGTTACTGGCAGGGCTGTTTTTTTCAGGCACCGCTCGCGGCTGCGCCTCTGGACGACAATGCGCCTCGCTGCGCCGCGGGCTCGTTCGTCTGTCTCTCTCGCACCCCCACGGCGCGCCCCGTGAGTGCGAGCGAGACAGAGCGACAGGGGGTTGTAAAGCCACCT